ATGGATCAGCTGAGCAACAAGCATTAAGCAAACGCTCATTGCCTTGTTTGCCAATTTTGCCCAATATTTTCAAATTAACAACAAACTAGAGCAAATTCTTCCCTTCGAGCGAAAATCAATGGAATTTCGACGGACAAAAAGTACGGCAATCCTCTGAAATCTTGATCAAAGAACACGAACAATAACAGATGTAGAAGACCTTGCATCTACGAGTAACTTGCCAAAACAGTTTTGCAACAATTTTCTATCACCCATCCCGGTTATAATTCCTCTTATTGGCAAGTAGTGATTCCACAGATTACCTCGCGGAATGACGCATCAAACTCAAGGAAGAAGACAACTCGACGTCTAGTTGATCAAACCTGAACGAAAATTTGACACACTGCGGTGCCGGATCGGTCTTCACAGCATGGAATTTCGGGCTCCATAACTTAGCTCGCATCAGAGGGTCATTACTACCGCCAAAACCAAAATTTTCATCATTGTCTGTTCCATAGCGACTTGATGCGGCGAGTGTCATACAAAGAATGTTGGTGTGGAGATCGGGATTCCAGACAATGCTCCAAGCAATACCATTATCTCTGGGATCGTCCTTCCAACCGCAGAGAGATTTCGGTCCCTGCATCTCGAAATCACAAGCGAATAAAGAGGCGGACACCTCTGAAAGGAAGTAAACAAATGCGGTCTGAGGACAAGGAAGAACATGAAATTGTTTAGTCACTATATGTGCCATGGGTCCAGCGATTGAAACATCAGAGGAGAACTTAATATTTCTTTGATTTTCCTAGGTACAAGGAACCTAGTCAACTGACATCGGGTGCTGAAATGTCCAGGTGGATAAAAAATAGAAATTGGAAGACCAAGGAACTGTGCTTCCTTGGCACTAGAAATCTTCGGGAAACGACTCTATAGAGTGAGAAATAATTGGAATGGTTGTCCAATGACCAAATGGAATGACAACTGGAAAATCAGAGTCGGATTATTCAACTGAAAAATAGACCTTTAAGCGAACGACAAAACAATGCCGGTAGGAAAAAGTGACGTTAACACATCCGCAAACTGGAACCAAAGCCAATCATGAAAACAACCAACTCTACAAACTTAATGAAGAGCACCCGAGACATGACATTATAGAAGCTCTGAACCATCCTCCCTCACCCCATTTGCCTCTGCATAAGGGACACCTTTGCAGACTGTTCAAGCTGTGTGTTACTACGACCACCAGACAGGGACACAATGAAGCTGAACTTAAGACAGCCAATTCCGTCTTGGACGCTTAAAAAACGACTGTATAGACGGGCAGACATCTCCGCCATTGCTTCTGATGGAATACGGAGAGGTTTCAGACAGAGAACTGAGTTCTTTCCATCCATAATTTCCCACGTTGCAAGCCAGTTGCTTTGATCATTCGACCAGGCACACAGACTCCCATTATCGAACGTGCAATTGAGCGACGCCCCGCCTAAGATGAAAACACAGAAACGGCGTTAGCAGGTCGCTTCGAGGAACCAAATAGTGCAACTAAACACCCTTGAATTATGTCCAAATCGGCGCGCCGAAGAAATGTTCACTTTTTCTGAACGATGATCATGGATGAGATTGCCATGAGAGAAACGGAAACACCAACAATGAATAGACGGGTAAACACTTGAAAACAAAAACAGAATCGATAAGAATGAAACCGGTGTTAAAGTCAAGCCTTACATATATACGACACACAAATCTAAACGACTTTTAAAGTTTTTTGATCCAACGTGTAATTTCGCCTTAGGAACAAGCCAGGCTACCAAAATCATAGAAACTCATCTATTCGACTGAAGAACTACTTTAACATCGTATCACTAAACGCCGTGTCGAGTAGGAATGATAAGACAGCCGAAAGATGTGATTAACCATCTCACCCTATTTGCTTTTGCAAAAGTGAAAAGCTAGCCGATTGATGCTGAGGACGGCTACTAAAAATCGCATAGTTTAATTTCACACAACCAATCCTGCTTTGCTGAGTCAGGAAGGGGCTATAGAGACGGGCAGACAGTTTGGTCTGTTTTCCCGAGGCAGGTCGATGCTGTCTGAGACATAGAAGCGAATTCAATACTTTCCAGGTGGCAAACCAGTTGTTGGGATCATTGGTCCACTCACAAATTGACCCATTTTCAAAGGCGCAATTGAGAGACGTCCGATCTAGTAGAAGAGAGAGGCTCAACGTGAATAGCTATTCAAGACGACGCCGAGGACTAAACCGACGTTTCAATGGGAATAAGCGGATAGCATGGATGCATCTGCGGGAGGAAAAACCACACGAAACCGGGAGATGCTAACGAAACACTGTGTCGACGAAAACATCAGAAGGAAAGGTCAGTTTGAATAAGAACAAAAAAACTCCAGTTCAACCGAAAGCAATTGCAAGCAGGAGGTAAATAAGCGACCGGTGCAAAGACAGATTGACACGCCCACTCCCTAAAACCACCTTTGTAAAACAGAAGACAGGAGGTTGGATATGCAAGCCGATAAATGGTAAGGCTTTTGTTGTCTTGACCCAACTGCCAAAATCCGACAACATTAGGCAATGATGCCGCATGTTAACATTCATATTCCTCCAATTCACCCAGATCGTTGGATGAATTGTAACTCATTTATCTTTTCCGATCTTCTCAGGGCTAGAGAATACATGTTTTACCTTGAAGAATGAAACATGAGACTCAAGGAAAGAGGCGGGCCTTTGAATGGTTGATCGAATTTGTACAAGAACTTGACGCATTGTGGTACCGCGTCGGCCTTTGTTAGGCGAAACTTCGGGCTCCAGAATTTCGCTCGCATCACAGCCTTATGCGGATCGCTCAAATCAAGGTTATCATAATTGCCATCGGTATGTACTCCTGCCACAACAGACTCGGATGCAGTAGGAGTCAGACAGAGCATGTTAGTATGTAGATTTGGACTCCAAGCGGCGCTCCACATAGCACCACTGTCTCTGGGATCGATATTCCAACCGCAAAAAAATTGAATTCCGGCCGACTCAAAGTCACAGGAAAATAAACTTGTTCGCCCACCTATAGATGGAAGGAAAAAGGAAGCGGTATACAAATCAGCAGACGCCAATACGGATGCATAACCGGTCTTTCTCGACCAGCAGTACATTGCGATGTAGTAGCACAAGTGTGAAAGTTCCGACGTCGGTGAAAGGTCTGAAGAATCCAATGTCAACGCCATATGGAAAAGTCAGAAAACTACAACTTATAAGTGTCAAGCAAGAGACTATCTGACCTCAAAACATCTAAAAGAAATGCCACCGAATGGAGAAAGAAAGTCTAGAGTGAAGTAAATGCAAATAGAAACACGTAATGCTGCCAACTCAAGGAATAAATGGCAAAAGGAGTTTCCTATTCTACCGAAATACAGCTCCAATCACCACTCGACAATACCGGGAATAGCAGCGAGGGCTGAGAACAGGTCCGCTACACCTAAAAAATATCGCCACCAAAGACAAGATCGTTTAGAATGCGTCAACAGTTTCCTAAATCAGGAAAACGAATAAAAGCCACCTTATCAACTCCATAAACCGACAGCCACAGGAGTCAGACCTCACCCCATTTGTTTTTGCATCAAAGACAATCTCGCTGATTGCTCAATTGAATCACTACGACTGCTCTTGACAGAAATAATGTAGCTGAGTTTCACACATCCAATCGCACTTTCTTCGCTCAGGAAAGGACTGTAGAGTCGAGCTAACAACTCCGCCCTTGACTTGGAATACTGCCGCAGAGGTTTGAAGCACAGAGCCGAGCTCTCCACCCTCCAAGTAGCCAACCAGTTATTCAGATCGTTTCCCCACTCGCACAGACTGCCATTTTCAAAGTCACAGGTGAGCGAAGTTGCACCTATTATAGAAAGACAAAAACCCTATGTAATCATGCACCTATTCCAGTGGGATACCGAGGCGTCTCACACTGCCGTGTGCACTGTCTGTCAGACACAACCGCCCTTCGGATGCGTGACGCACAGACCACGCAATGCATGCGTCAGAGCTGCATACGTACGACGCTGGAAATCGCAGCTGGCCAAAATACCCGCATACTTCACTAACGCGTGCTATGATTGGCGCGTTAATAGACGAATCAGCGTAAGAGATGACTGTCATTACCAGAAAACAATGTAC